AAGGAAATTGGCTTTTTGACCATTATTGTTGTCTGTTTGTTTATTTGTTTGTTGTTTAACGCCGCACTCAGCAATATTCCAGCCATATGACGATCACGAAATTTGACATGTAAATTACATCGATAAATGCAATGATCATAACTGATACTGAGTATAATAAATACTATACGATAAACAACCCAACCCAACCCAATACAATACAATTAAAAGCAATCCACATCTGAAATTATGTTTGGACACAAAGTCATTCAGGACTTGGACATTTCAGAAATAGCAGTTCCAAAGCTTCGACTATTTTTCTTTTGTACACATATCCTATTTTAATAAAAGCTACTTTCACCAAGTTTCGTCAAGGGTGGGTTCTTAGGAAGTGATACTTTATGCAATATAAAACTGTAATGAACACGTTCAACAAATTCATATTCATTTACGGAAACATAAAGCTGTCATGTGAAACATTTGCATGGCCATTGCCTCAGGATACACTCGTTCAATGGTTCCTGACCTTGGGTATTCTAATAGGCTTAGTGATTACACGAGTGTGACATGGTCAAGACGTCACGACAACCCACGACACGACCTCTGACTGACCTTGGACGTCAATAGGGGAAGGGGGTTTTAAATAACACACACCACTCGTTATGTTACTATAAACTCACAGTCCTCTGACGATACAACCTAAAGCAAAACACGGCTGTAAGTAGTACTCTGTTGAAAATGTCATGGCACCTCAGGGACTCGTCTTTAAGATGCACACGTACCGTTTTAATGAAATACGTATGTAGGGTTCAGTAACATGTATTGATTTGTGTCTTTTGATTGTTATAATAATATTAATCAGGTTCAACGAAAATGCTATTTGGTAACACCTTTGGTGAGATGTAACGTTCTTCGACCACTGCAGATTAAGTTCGGATGGTAGGCAACCCTATGTATATTTCTATATGCTTCTAACGTTTCAATTAATTTTATAATTTTCGAATTTGGGTTTCCATTGGCATTCTAGTTGCAAAGAAGAATCAAATAACTGGTTAGTGACGTATAATTTCACGAATATATTTAAATCTCATCTTGTTTAAATAGTTGTATTAATTTCGTTGACGTTTTCCTTCCAGTAAATCATGACACTGCTAACAAGAACAGTCAAGCACTCGGGGAATTTGGCATTGAAGAACCTCTTTCATCAGGCCAACGCAAGCCCAAAGTCGACGTTTGCCAGCGTAGACCTTCTGGATCAGTATGAGTGCAAACAGTTCAAGGCTATGCCGGGTCCTGGTGGACTCCATGCAATTCCTTATGTCGGAATGGCTTTTCATATGTATCCGTTCAGTAAGTGTTTATCTGTACAAGATCTTGGATTCGAATCCAAGATGTCTCTAGGTCTGTCAGCACCATTGCCATGCTCGTGGGTTTCACCAAAGTGGTAAACGTCTATGACCTGCATCACTTCAGGCTTTTCTCAAACATCAATCTGACACGCTGTGATAACTGAGATACAGTTCGTAGCGGCGTTAAACTCAACTCACTCACTCACTCACTCATCCTCATGTATGGTTAAAATGAGTGATAAGAGTTTTAAGCCACTTTGGTGATATCCATGCGGGAAACTGTTTCATATTTTGTATCCATGCAGGAAACTGTTCCATATATTGTATCCATGCGGGAAACTGTTTCATATATTGTATCTATGCGGGAAACTGTTTCTTGTATTGTATCAATGCGGAAAGGCGTTTGATATATTGTATCCATGCGGGAAAGTGTTTCATATACTGTATTCGTGCGGTAAAGCATTTCATATACTGTATTCGTGCGGGAAAGCTTTTAATATATTGAATCATTGCAGGAAAGTATTTCATATATTGTATCCATGCGGGAAACTGTTTCTTGTATTGTATCAATGCGGAAAGGCGTTTGATATACTGTATTCGTGCGGGAAAGCTTTTAACATATTGAATCATTGCATGAAAGCATTTAATATATTGTATCCATGCGGGAAACTGTTTCTTGTATTGTATCAATGCGGAAAGGCGTTTGATATATTGTATCCATGCGGGAAAGTGTTTCATATACTGTATTCGTGCGGTAAAGCATTTCGTATACTGTATTCGTGCGGGAAAGCTTTTAATATATTGAATCATTGCAGGAAAGTATTTCATATATTGTATCCATGCGGGAAACTGTTTCTTGTATTGTATCAATGCGGAAAGGCGTTTGATATACTGTATTCGTGCGGGAAAGCTTTTAACATATTGAATCATTGCATGAAAGCATTTAATATATTGTATCCATGCGGGAAACTGTTTCTTGTATTGTATCAATGCGGAAAGGCGTTTGATATATTGTATCCATGCGGGAAAGTGTTTCATATACTGTATTCGTGCGGTAAAGCATTTCATATACTGTATTCGTGCGGGGAAGCTTTTAATATATTGAATCATTGCAGGAAAGTATTTCATATATTGTATCCATGCGGGAAACTGTTTCTTGTATTGTATCAATGCGGAAAAGCGTTTGATATACTGTATTCGTGCGGGAAAGCTTTTAACATATTGAATCATTGCATGAAAGCATTTAATATATTGTATCCATGTGGAAAAGCGTTTCATATATTGTATCCATGCGGGAAACTGTTTCTTGTATTGTATCCATGCGGGAAAGTGTTTCATATACTGTATTCGTGCGGTAAAGCATTTCATGTACTGTATTCGCGCGGGAAAGCTTTTAATATATTGAATCATTGCAGGAAAGTATTTCATATATTGTATCCATGTGGGAAACTGTTTCTTGTATTGTATCAATGCGGAAAGGCGTTTGATAAATTGTATCCATGCGGGAAAGTGTTTCATATACTGTATTCGTGCGATAAAGCGTTTCATATACTGTATTCGTGCGGGAAAGCTTTTCATATATTGAATCATTGCAGGAAAGTATTTCATATATTGTATCCATGTGGAAAAGCGTTTCATATATTGTATCCATGCGGGAAACTGTTTCTTGTATTGTATCCATGCGGAAAGGCGTTTGATATATTGTATCCATGCGGGAAAGTGTTTCATATACTGTATTCGTGCGGGAAAGTGTTTCATAAACTGTATTCGTGCGGGAAAGCGTTTCATATACTGTATTCGTGCGGGAAAGAACGTTGTCGGCGTGTCAAGCAAATGCCGTTAGATGCCCCGTCGGTACTTATTTGCATTTGTCATTGCTTATTAGCAGCGCAATCTTTGCACTTGTAGTCAGCAGATCTAATTTAAAATTAACATATCGTATTAAATTTGAACAAAATCAGCTAATTAAATATGGTATCGTGTCCCTGGATGTTCTGGCCCATCGCGCGATTGAATGGTTTGTCTACAGACCGTCTATCGTCACATGGCAGGAATACTCCTGTGCAGATATGGCAACAGACTTACATTGTATACACATTGTGTGAGAGGCGGAAGCTCTCTGCAGGGCAGAACCTGCTTACACTTTTTGCGAACACTTGGAGTGAGTGAATGAGTGAGGTTTTGTGCCGCTTTTAGCAATCTTTCAGCAATATCACGGCGGGGGACACCAGAAATGGGCTTCACACAGTGTACCCATGTCGGGAATCGAACCCGGGTCTTCGGCGTGACGACGCTTTAACCACTAAGCTACCCGACCGCCCCTGCGTACACTTGGAGTCATCAGTGACTTTCAGTGATCAATTCATGTAATATTCACCGCTGTTTTGCCTTTTACTATCGAATGAGGAAAGAATTATAATTATGAATTATATTTAGAGCATTAGGATGTATTATGAAATTTAATAACATGAGTAGGCACAATAGCAATTACATAGAATGCTGTTTTCATATCACGATGGTACACAAGATTATAACGTATCCAATTTTCATGATGCAGTGGGTGGTAAAGTATAATGATTACAATATGGCTGTCGTAGATTAAAACGAATCATATTTCAAGATCACATTGGTAATAATGGCTGTTCTTCGTGATATTATACGAAAGTGAAGTGGTTTTAAAGGTTCATTTGGCGGTATTGTATCCAACACTGGATCGCTTGCAATGCGGGGATTTGGTTTATCGCTTCTTTGAACATGATGTCAGTCATGTCATGGCGTGTCAGCTTAATGGTGGAGAAAAGTGAATGATTTGAAAGGTGCAAATACATTAGATCATGTTCGATAATCTTCCATTCTTTTCGGGGCGATCGGGTAGCCTAGTGGTTAAAGCGTTCGCTCGTCTCGCCGAAGATCCGGGTTGGATTCCCGACATGGGTACAACGAGTGAAGCCCTTTTCTGGTGTCCCCCGCCGTGATATTGCTCGAATATTGCTACTCTGTGTGAGGACATGCGTCCCTTCCTCATGCCAGGAACCGTTTGTCACAGGTTTAAAACCCAGGTTGACACAGCTTCTGATCTTAACCCGTACGTGGGGGTATCACCAAAACGGTTTAGGTCTATTTCTCTCAGAGTGAACCCCACATACAGTTCACGGGGCGGTCGGATAGCTTAGTGGTTAAAGTGTTCGCTCGTCACGCCTAAGACCCGGGTTCGATTCCCGACATGGGTACAATGTGTGAAGCCCTTTTCTGGTGTCCCCCGCCGTGATATTGCTGGAATATTGCTAAAAGCGGCGTAAAACCATACTCACTCACTCACTCACATACAGTTCACAAGACGTGGCAGAGCTGATGTTCAGTTCAAAGCAGTGTTCACCTGTTTCATCACCTGCTGGGGTGGGTTGTAGCCTCGTGGTTACACCGTTCGCCCGTCACGCCATATGTCCGATCGATTCCTTCGTTGATACAATGTATGGTGCGCATTTAGCGTGAGTATTGCTAACAGCAGTGTAAAACACAACTCACTCACTTATTACCTGCTTATTTGTGTTTTCAGCGCAGTACAATAGCCAAGAGATACACAAGATCCTAGACTCCTTACACGACAGATATGGACCGACGTTCAGAATGGAGTTCCTAGGGAAGTCAGTAGTGACAGAAGAGCCGGACCACATGGAGGTCATCATCAGGAACGAGGGCAAATACCCCGCGAGGGCCCCAGTCGAGCTGTTCGACGAGTATGCCAAAAACAACAACCAGGAAAGAGGGATGTCGCTTGTGTGAGTTCCGTTCTTTAGATCCTTTCAAAAATAATACCTGTGGGTAATGGGGGAAGGAGTAAGGTTTTGCGCCACATTTTGCAGTATTCTAGCAATATCACGGTTGGGGACACCAGAAATGAACTTCCCCCATTGTACCCACTACGGGAATCGAACCCGGTCCTCCGGCATGAACCTGTACGTAGCTTAGTGTTTCAAATGTGGGCGCGTCAAACACAGCCTTTCGTTACACGGGACCCGTGAAGGTCCGGGGTCTTCAGCAACCCATGCTTGCCGTAAAAGGCGACTGTGCTTGTCGTAAGAGGCGACAAACGGGATCAGACTCGCTGACTTGGTTGATGCATGTCATTGATCCCAATTGCGTGGATCGATGCTCATGATATTAACAACTGGATTGTCTGGTCCAGACTCGATTATTTACAGACCGCCGTCATATAGCTGAAATATTGCTGTTAAACAACAGACCAACCAACCAACGTTACACGGTCTTTCGATATAAGGTGTATAATGTTCAGATGGCCTGTTTTGGGTAGCGTTGACTTGTTTATCCGAAGCCCCGGGTTCACTTGCCCACGTTGAGACAAGGTGAGAAATCAGTTCTTGGTGTTTACTGCTCGTACTGTTGAAATATTCACACACTTTCTCTTTTTAAAAAAAGTAATACATACACATTTGATACTTGAGCTTTTGAATAGTTAATGTGTTTTTGGTGTTTGTTTCAAAGCGCCCAATAAAGCACTGAACATATTGGAGCAACAGCGTGAGCTTTAAGGATCAGAAACACGTCTTAGTTTGTATTTTAAGTTATCTCTTTTCGTTGTCGAATCTAATATATCGAAGATACTGAAATGACTATGGATTGCAAGACAATATGTTCATGAACAAAGATACATAACTCCGCTTTAACCTCACCTTTGCTTACAGCGTAATGTAGACAAAGTACGATGTAGTATGTTAGGATAATTCATATGCACATTAACATAGGTTACTTGTAACGTATAATTAGAGGATAACTTATACACAGATTATTTAGATCATGTTTGGTGAAGCTCGGGTAGACAGTGTGGTAACTACGTTGCTTGACAATGTTGTTTCCATTCCCACTGATTGGTATTTTATTCAGAAACGGCCCAGAATGGCACCGCGTGCGCTCTGCAACCCAACAGCATCTTCTGAAACCCCACTCTGCTGCCGTATACGTGGGCGCTCAGGCTGCCGTTGCCAACGACCTCATCACCAGAATGTCTAAAATCACATACACTCCAGAGGAGTTCAGAAATGAACTATTCCAATATGCGACAGAAAGTAGGTTTGAAAGGTCTCATCAATCGACTTGTAAATTTTTCTTTGCACCTTACAAAAGGTTACATGTTACATGTAACAAAAACAGCGTTACCTGGGCTGTTTTACCTTGATCCGCTGCTCGTAGGTTCGAATCCTCGATGGTCTTCAGCTTGTCATGCTTGTCGTAAGAGACAGCTAACGGAGTGGGGTGGTCAGGCTCGCCGACTTGATTGATTCATGTCACCCCAGTTGCGTAAAGTGATGCTCCTGATGTCAAATACTGGATTTTCTGGCCCAGACTCACTTATTCACAGACAGCCATCATGTAACTGTAATATTGCCGAGTGTGGCGGTTAAACAACAAACAATACAAATAATCGAATCCTCGATTCGTTCCAATTATGATTATTTGTTTGTCAGTTCGTGGGCTTTACAAACGTTGTGATGTGTATTTTCTATTCTCCAACAGTAAGCTGATACGCCGTGAAATTGCTGACAATGTGTTCCAAAATGCGCCAAACTCACGGCTTCATTGTATGACAATACTAAAGTGTGTTTGAACCATTTCCCCTTACTCATGTGAGGGCCCATTTCGCTGTTGCGTCGCTAAGGAGTGTCAGATACTTGTGATCTAATCTCGGTTCGCCAAGATTATGTTTCCAGGTTTGTCACCATCATACCCGTGCTCGCTGCGACATAACTACATGTAAAATACTTCTCAAAGCGGTATTAAAGCACATACTCTCAATCAATCAATGTCTATTTATAAAATATTGGAGGACACAGACCCATTCTACAGTTATTGGATCATTGAAATGCATTATTCACACACATGATTGACTTAGCTGCCTTGATTTACATGTATACACATACGTTTTTTACAGTTTCTGGATTTTTGAAGACATTGATAATACTGTCCCAAAAGAGCATTAAACCAGAGAGTAGAATAGGTCTTCAGCAACCCATCCTTACTGTAAAAGGCGACTATGCTTGTCGTAAGAGGTGACAAACGGGATCGGGTGGTCAGGCTTGCTGACTTGGTTGATGCATGTCATCGATCCCAATTGCGTGGATCGATGTTCATGATATTAATCACTGGATTGTCTGGTCCAGATTCGATTATTTACAGACCGCCGTCATATAGCTGGAATATTGCTGAGTGCGGCGTTAATCAACCAACCAAAGAACCAATCAACCATTCAACCATCCTTACGTGATACCTTCGAATTTGTAAAAAAACGTTTGAGAAATGCCTTGTTCAGGTATTGGAGTCGTGGCCTTCAACAAGCGCCTTGGCTTCATGGCGCCCGATGGCAGCAGCTTGTCCACGGAAAACGCCAACTACATCACGGCCATCCAGACCTTCTTCGCGCTGTTCTATGAAGATATTGGTTTATCTCTGTACAAAGTCTACCCTACAAAGCTGTACAGGCGCTTCGAAAAAGTAGCTAAGGAGGCTTACGGGTGAGCCTTTGGACTGTTAGTTGAACATCACCGTGCATAAATATAAACCAGAACGTTTTTGCACAAGAATTCATAACGTATAAGAGTATATATGTACATATATAACATACTCATGTTGTGCTTTTTTAATTTGATACTTCTGTGAGGACAAGGGGTGGGATTTCGCTATTAAGAGTTGTGTCCCTTACGCTTGCAAGAAACGGGGGTTCATGGGTTCGAATCCCAGATCCGCGCTTATGATTCTAAGATTGTCAGTTCCATACTCGTGCTCCTGGGTTTCTCCTGGGTGGTAAACATCATTGGTTTCCTGGGCACATAAGTCCAGTGCCCAATGTCTGCATGAATTCCGATTATAAGTTTGATCAGTTGTACAACATAACATAAGCGTTACGACTGCCGAAAGTCTATGTTTAGGTATGAGAGTTACGCTCACCTTAGCGCTAAACTCGCTTTGTATAACGGCACCATGGTGGTTACATTGTTAAACCTCGCTGATGATACCCCGACTACAGAGAGTGTTGCTCATGTTGTCAACCACTGGTTTGTCTCCCCCAGACTCCCCCAGAGTTTGCAGGCTGACAGCGGCTTAAAAACCATAATCAGTCACTGCCTGAAATAGTGTAAGATGTGTGTGCACATGATCCCGATACTGTTCAAATGTAGTTTAGCAAATGTTCTTCTGTCTCCAGCTACGGGCGTGCCCATATAAGAGAAGCAATGGCGAGATTTGATCGTGAAATAAGGAAAGGAACCTTCGATCCAGAAGAGCCAAATCTGATCCTTCAGCTTCAGGCCCATCCCAATATGAAAGAAGGGAGCGTGGAGGCCATAATGCTGGACCTACTGACCGCGGGCACAGACTCGGTTAGTCCAACACAAACAGTGCAAGCTCTGTTTTTCGTCATATACCTTATATCGTTTTCATTCATTCATTCATTCATTCATTCATTCATTCATTCATTCATTCATTCATTCATTTTTATTTATTTTTTATGTTTTTATTAGTAGAAGTTTTATTTTTTGTGGGGGTGGGGTTCGTTCTGGGGGGGTTGTTTGTTTGTTGCAAGTGATCCTCGGTCTACTGACCGCGGGCACAGACTCGGTTAGTCCAACACTAACAGTGCAAGCTCTGTTTTTCGTCATTTACCTTATATCGTTTTCATTCATTCATTCATTCATTCATTCATTCATTCATTCATTCATTCATACATACATTCATTCATTCATTCATTTTATTTTATTTTTTTATTATTAGTAAATTTATTTTTTTGTTGGGTTGGGTTTCGTTCTGGGGGTTGTTTGTTTGTGATCCTCTATGGGTCGTGTAGTGTTGCATGCGTATTCCCGAATATGATCCTTAGTTTCTAAGCACCATGCATTTGTTCATTGGTCCTTCATGTTTTATGAAGTGTTGGACGTCTGATAGTATTATCTTCGTCTCCTTGGGATTTTCTCCCACATTAAGCTGTCAAGCCGCGAAATCACACAGCTCCAGACAAAGCCTTAACTAATACACTAACGCGGGAACGATCACATTCCACTGTCAAAGTAAATACAGTTTATTGTACTTAAGGCCCACAGCAGAGCTACAGCGTCTGCTCTAATGCTTCCAATATACAATACAAGGCGAAGTGATACAGTTACTCGGCTCGGAGTCAGTATACTGTGCACCCTGTCAAATGGTGTATCATGTCATTTTTATATGGCATCCTGTCAAATGGTGTATCATGTCATTTTTATATGGCATCCTGTCAAATGGTGTATCATGTCATTTTTATATGGCTTCCTGTCAAATGGTGTATCATGTCATTTTTATATGGTATCCTGTCAAATGGTGTATCATGTCATACATTGTACATCCATAGACTGCAAAGAACGTTGAGTTCCTGCTACTGAGTCTTGCCCTGAATCCCAGCAAACAGCAGACGTTGTACGAGGAGATTGTGGATGTCATTGGTCCAAAGGGGAGCCCAATCCTGGCTGATCACATGACAAAGATGGCGTACTACAGGTCATGCATGAAAGAGTCATTCAGGTAAAAGTGTAAAAGAGAACAAACACAATCACATCCTACTCAATGTCTCTTGAATGACCAATGGCTCCTCCAGCTAGTTTACATGCACAGACCTCACAAATATAACATCTTTTAATGTCGGTATGAGTGTCCATTTTCATTTTATTTTTCCATTGTTTCTCGATTCAATGTTTCAATTGACATTTCATGATGGGCAATGGGGGTAGCCTTGTGGTTAAAGTATTCGTTGTCAAGCAGAAGCCATGGGTTCAATTCCCGACATGATTACGATATGTAAAGCCCATATATGCTATCTCCTGTCGTGATATTGCTGCAATATTGCGAAAAGCGGCGTAAAAGCCATACTCACCACAGGGTCATTTCTGGAACGTTTCGTGCGATATTGGAGATTGGCAATGATCAGTTAACACACATCTTTGATCAATATTTTTTTACATTTCTCAGGTTAAATTTCCCATTGCCTTTTGGAACATTGCGAGTTCTCCCAAAGGACGTAATGATTGGGGACTACTTGGTCCCGAAAGGAGTAAGTATTACATAGCTCCTTTATTGTCTACATAAGGCTGATATACAGTGAATCCCTGGTATTCACATGGGACCGTTCCCTTGAAAAGCGTCCGCGTTACAACAATTCCGGATAAACTAGCCATAGACAGGAAGGTGTGTCATTTGTATAAACTACAGTTATAACGAACTCAAAGGGACCATATGTATAACATAGCAAACATATATATGTATATACATCAAATACCCGAGACTAAAAAGTTCCCGTCTACGCCAGAAAGTGATCTAAAGGTATCTAAAGTGATGAAAAGTATACGAATGGGTCACTGAAAATCGGTGTTGACACTAGTTGTTTGCGAAAAGAGTAAGCATGTCCTGCTCTACTGGTAGCACCCGGCAATTTACATGATTTACATGTTTGTTTGTTGCTTAACGAAGCACACAGCAATACTCTTGCCCAACGACGCTGGCCTGTAAACAATAGACTTTGGACCAGACTTGCCTGTGATAATTCAGTGACACGATATCGTGTTTACTGAGTTTGTTGAAACTAACAATGTTATTTTGTGTCTAATTGATACAAAATACTGAGCTCATGTTGAAAGTCCGGGACTTTAATACACCTTCCGACACATGTACAACGTCCCAGTTCAAGTAAATATAAACAATCAACGCCAGAGAAAATGTAGTAGATGTACACACTTGGTTCTATTCCCCACATGGGTACAATGTGTGAAGTCCATTTCTGGTGTCCCCCGCCGTGGTATTGCTGGAATATTGCTAAAAGCGGCACAGAACCTCACACACTCACTCCAAGTGTTCGCAAAAAGTGTAAGTAGTTTCTGCCCTGCAGAGAGCATCCGCCTCTCACACAATGTGTATAAAATGTAAGTCTGTTTGTTGCCATTAGACGGTCTGTTGACAAATCATTCAATCGCGCGATGGACCAGAGCATCCAGGGGCACGATACCATATTTAATTAGCTGATTTTGTTCAAATTTAAATCGATATATTAATTTTAAATTAGATCTGCTGACAAAAAGTGAAAAGATTGTGCTGCTAATAAGTAATGACATATGCAAATAAGTACCGACGGTGCATCTAATGGCATTTGATCGACACGCCGACGACGTTCTTTTCCACATGGATAAAATATATGAAACGCTTTTCCACATGGATAAAATATATGAAACGCTTTTCCAAATGGATAAAATATATGAAACACTTTTCCACATGGATAAAATATATGAAACGCTTTTCCACATGGGTAAAATATATGAAACGCTTTTCCACATGAATAAAATATATGAAACGCTTTTCCACATGGATAAAATATATGAAATGCCTAGGGAAACTATACTCACTCACTCGCTCACTCACCAAAAGCACGAGCATAATGTTGACAGACCAATAATTATCATGCGCTAATCTAAGAATCTGAATTGCGACACCAGAGACCACCCATGTCATGGATGACCTGGAGTAACAGTTCTGATGGTTTTGTCTCTCCAGACTGTGGTAGTTTGCAACAATCGCCGTCTCCTTCTGAACAGCGAATATTTCGAGTCCCCGAGTGAATTCCTCCCAGAACGGTGGCTGCGATATGGAACCAACAAAAAGAGGGACAAAGACTACCCAGGTGTTGCTCTCCTGCCATTTGGGTTTGGGCTCAGAAAATGCATCGGTCGACGTTTCGCTGAGCAGGAGCTTTGGCTGGCAGTAACTAAGGTGAGTTGTTGTTGTTGTTATTGTTGTTAAGTTCATCTGCAACTTTAGAAATTAGTATGCAACGCCACTGCCCCCGTATATACAACCTACCCAGCCACTGAAAAATTCCAGACAGTGCTCTCTTAATATAGAACATTACAGAAATTTCCCAATGTTTCTATAACATACTATCACTGGGAGTTTACACACCACACAAGCATCTTAATATAGTAACTTCCCGACGACAGACCACTGTCCAAACACAATGCAATAAGCGTCTACCGAGTCTCAGAATCAATGAAACACAGTTAGAACCATTGTTAAATAACAAAATAATCCGCCATGTAACAAAAGTATGTAAGCAGTGCCACGGATACTTCATCCTCGACGATGTAGCATCTCAAATCTCCATTCCATATTATTACGATGCTCTTCTGTGGCATATATCTGCATTCAAAATAACATCTTCGTCGTATACAGTATACACATCTTCATTCTAGTGTGATAAATACATTTGACCAGTTCGCTACGTTACCATGCCACGATGCTTAAAACGACAATGCTGTTTCATCTTTATTGCATCAAGCACTGTCTTAATACATTTGTGCTCGCATTTGCCTTACCAGATTTTACAGAATTTCAAAGTGACAGTATCGCAAGAAGATCGAAACTATGAAATCATATACACAACATTTGGTCAAGTAAAGAAGCCTATCAACTTCACGTTCAAACCAAGGTAACAGCGCCCACATGGGACACGGATTGCGGTGCCACGCCAAATCTCAAGGATAGGTCACAAGAGAATAGAATGAACAAGTATGTCTCCAACATAGGCCGCAATATATTGCTAGCAATGTGAATATACAGTAAGACCTCAACAAATTAATGGAAGGATGACGTTCTTCTGAATCAAAGAGAAGAGTGATGTGTTTTGGAATATATGGGAAGCTAAGTCATGACCCTTTGTAGATATGGGGACAAGGGTAATATCCCTTTGTAGATATGGGAAGTGGAGAAATGTCCCTTGTATATATAGGAAGCGGAGTAATGTCCCTTTGTATATATATGGGAAGCGGAGTAATGTCCCTTTGTATATATATGGGAAGCGGAGTGATGTCCCTTTGTATATATGGGAAGCGCAGTGATGTCCCTTTGTATATATGGGGAGCTGTGAAGTGTCCCTTTGTTGATATGAGGCGGTAACTAATGTAACTTAGTACACATGTACAGCCATACCCATCGGTGGTACCTGGAGGTAACTGGAATTAACGTAGGTTCACTGTATATGAAGATCACGAGGAAGTTTGTTTAATTAGCCGAGAATATAAACTTTATGTTTTCAGATTGTTTTGGGACATTGTGAAAAATAAACGTTATCAGACACTTTCCGAAGCAACAACTAAATAGAATTTGTTCTAATAGTTATTGATCGATCTGAATATTTAATTAATGTGATATCCACTTCTCGAAACAGAATATCATGGGGTTTTTTTCAAGTTTGAGATGCAGAAAAAAAGATAGTTGTAAATAAGAGATATGTAGTGAAAAGTACAAGACTCTCCTTCAGCTGCAAGATAATGCAATTCCCCGTAATCATTTGTTGAAAGAAATGAAAATGTTTTTCGGATTAATCAACATTTGTCAAATGATTCCGAAGAATGGTTGACTCCAATTTGCAGCCCTAAACAGTTTTTGTGCGCACGTGAGTATACAGTTGGATGTATATGCCCCGCCAATCATTTATTCTGGCATATTTGTATATCAAATCACCAAACGTTTGTGTACCAGATACTGTTGTGAAAATAAAGATTACTTGAGTATACGTATAGTTGTTGGTGTGTCACTTGCAACTGTCAGTGAGAATTACAAAAGACGTTGTGTTTAAACCGGACGAAAACGATGCCTTTCCTGACTTGGAAAGAACATGGAGCGAACCTTCATTCAAAGCATTCGCGTCAAGTGGCCAGTAAATGCGACATTGCTTGAAATTGCATTGAAGTGTTGTTTGATTGTATTTGAGTTTGAAATGAAGTCTAGGATCGTAGGTATTATGTATTTAACAGATAACGACACACTGTAATGTTGCTCGTTTTAAGAAAACTTACAACTTTATGGATAACAACTTCTGGTTTATTGCATATAGCGACGTTTCGATGTGGACTCTTACACCGTTATCAAGCTGGAGTGACAGCAACCAAGTGATGAGAAGTGCATATGCATGTCATGTTGTGATAAGAAACCGATTAACATTGCCAACAAAAGGTAATATATAACAAGTAGCATACAGATAATTGGATGCAGCCAAACGTACAGTAAGAATAACAAATAACATACAGGTGATGAGTCAGTGAGTATGATTTTACGCCGCTTTTAGCAATATTCCAGCAATATCACGGCGGGGGACACCAGAAATAGGCTTCACATATTGTGGGGAATCGAACCCGGGTCTTCGGCGAGACGAGCGAACCCTTTCACCACTAGGAACACAGGTGATGAAGCACACGGGCAATGAAGCCAGATGTACATTAAGGATAAGGATTAAAAGGATTAAACAGTTGTGACCGGCTGATTGGATCCTAATTAAAATTACATAATTAGATAAGATCTTCATAGGCAGACGAGATGTGATGCCCTTTAATCTCTTTTGATCAAAGGTTTGTGACGGCGGATTTCTACAGCTTCTGATAGTTTTCTTTTGGTGAACCCCTGATGTTTGGTCTCAGAAGCTATACAAATCCACCGTCAAAAACCTTCTTTTGAATGTGGATTCTTTTGTCGCTTTTACATAAACATTAATGATATAAGACAAGTTGTTACACAATTGAGGTCAAGGTCACGAAGATCAAGGTCAGTATTCTACTGATGAAGTAAACCGCTGACTATAACTAGGACTAAAATGGAGGGTAATGAATGATTCCACTTAAAATAAATACAAAGGGACCAGAATCTTTAAGCAAATAATAGTTAAGAACACATATCATCTCATTAAGAGACATGCAAACTTATGGTAACGTTGTGTTTCCCAAGAACGAATGTTTGTTGTGTTGACTTTATCTTCGAAACACTGCAGTACGTCTAAAACACAAAGTGTGCTATTTACAGTTTCAAACTTACCACCATATATGATAACCTTTTGAAAAGAGTCCCAAACACTATAAATTGCCTTTTCCATTGTTGCCACGTGAACACTTCAATTGCATCTCATCAGTGAATCAGAATCAGAATAAGTGTACATGTAGACTTCACAGCCATACAAGAGACTCACCGTCACTTCCCTTGAAATCTGCCAAATGAATTACGCGTGTGTACAGTGACAAAAATGATGTCCTATGCAATTCCCTAGTTTGTCTTGTACCATATGTTCCCATGCTTTTTCAGATGAACAATTGACTTGCCTTTGCGTATGTTTGTGATGGGTGCCACCGGTTGGGCAGGATACGCTCACCTTTTCGCGAACACCTGGTGTCATTACTATTTGATAGTGATTCAAAAATACATGCTCATGATACAGTCGGATGCGTAAATCAACTCTGCTCTAATCTGAGTTTGATCTTGAAAGATGAATTGCACTTACAATTATTCTGTTTCTATTGTTGTTTGTTTGCACCGTATTTAGGAATATTTCAACACTGTTGACGATTTTTACGATTGCATATTGTGTTTAATTTAACGATGAAATATGAAAAATTGTCCAAAGTGTTTGTACACATAGACTTTCCCAAAGTTTTCTGACAAAGCGGAGTCAGGTTTCTAGCTTAATACTGGTATCGAAAAGAACTGAGTGAGTGTGTGTGATTTGCACGGGTATGAGATTGACATCAGTAGGATGAGTAAAACTGGCATTTCAAAATAAGTTTCTGACCCGCCAAGAGACGCAATTCTGTACAGCGGCGCCTTAATTACACGACTTGAAACTTGTGCCAAATTGTCAGACACCATGAAATAGAATAGAATAGTCATAGGCTTTAATTCTCAAACAGATAATTCAAATAATTTAACAACCCAATTTCACCAGTCTGCTCAAAGTATCCAAATACTGCATTGTGGTCTTGACCCCATGAGTCAACTGGTCTTTGAGTCTGCATTGTGCAGAGTGACTCATCGTCAACCCAGATGGTGACAATGTAGCCATTGAAGCCTCAGGGCACACACAAGAGGATAACATGAGGATCCTACTCTGGCATGAATGACATAAAGTGGATTCCACAAATCAGAACTGGCAGTCCATCCATGTAAATTATTTCTGTTGTCTGTTGAGAAAACTCAACATTTGCGTGAGAAGCTGGGGTGAGAACTGTGGAGAACTTATAAATATAAGTTATTTTCATGATCAAATGGTCCATTAGTTAAATCTACACCCGTAGACAATAAAACAGTGTGTAATACTATTGTATCTGAGTAGATCTATTAACTTCAAAGAACTTTATTTTCTTGATCTTAATTATATAGAGGATAAGTGAGTGAGTGCGTTGGGTTTAACGCCGCTTTTCCATTTATATGGCGGCGTGTCAGCTCAATGTGGGAGGAAAGCCCGAAGTGATGCAGGTCTCAGACGTTTACCACTTCGGTGAAACTCACGAGCACGGGTAAGGTGCTGACAAACCTACAAACATAATCGGGGCGAACCGGGATTCGAACCCACAATCATAGGTTTCTGGCGTGGCCAAAGGACGCAACTCTGCACAGCGAATCGCGGCGCCTTAGACGACTGGGCCACCCGTGCCTCCTATATAGAGGATTAAGTCTGTTAGGCCTGGTCCATTATCGACAGGTAAATCTCATATGTTTTGACAAGTCCTCTCTGCTCTACTGTCTAACAACCGGGATGTCTGACAAATGGGGTATGACCGTCATATGAAACGTCAACGCCAGAGAATAACCAGTCTCGACTACCTGCCGAAACTGCCATTAGGCGTAAGATGAATGGACACCAGCTGTTCGAGCAAAGGATAATAAAGCACATGTGCGTCCTGTCTACTCAGATGAAGAAAGATATGAAAATCTCGGAATTTGCAACTTTAAAAGCGTAGAGTGTGGGGATGCATGTTGGTCTAAAGGGAGGTAATCCGTATAACTGCCTCACGTCACAACACATGCCATCGGCAGATGGGTCGGTTTCTGCTCATGGTTTTAGGCTATCTGATATTTGCGATATTCACACTCAGTGTTTCGTAACACGCAAGCGAAAAAAGATTAATGAGAAAAGTGACATTTGAAGTGATGACTTAGAGGATATTGATCCTGAGATTTTGATCACTCGTCAGTATTAGATTCCCGGGGCATTATTGGAATAAATCTTAATCAATGAACACGTGTTGCTAATTACATTGACGTTGATGTGTACTAGATCTTAAGTACTATTCGACTTGATGAGTGGAAAGTACACTAGTACGACTGGGACCATTAAACCATTACCGTTCCAGTTTTCATTTCATTAGTGAACGTTGTCAGCAGTTCGGCAATGCCACGACGTGTAGGGTATCAACCATGATGGTTAAATACACCCTGTGGTCAAGATGATCCGAACAAATTCACACTTTCAAATTGATCGAACTGTGATTAGATATACAACCTGTGCAACCAAACCTTCTTAAGCCCTCAGTACAGTGCGTATACGACTCTTGCTCAGAAGTTGTTTGATCAGTGCGTATACGACTCTTGCTCAGAAGTTGTTTGATCAGTGCGTATACGACTCTTGATCATAACTTGTTTGATCAAGGTAACAACATTCAAGGCCTCAGTAAAGCTTTTAAAAAGTTTTGTGGTAGATATGTGAAGGACATTTCCAAATTTGAAGCATCAGTGACAAAAACGATGTCCGATGCAATTCCTTATTTTGACATGTACAATATGTTCCCGGGATTTTTGAGGTGAACTATTGACTTGCCTGTGTATGTGTTCGTGATGGGTGCACCGGTGGTACAGGATATACGCTCACCTTTTCGCGAACATTTGGTCTCGTTACTATTTGATAATGATTCATAAACACATGCTCATGATGTAGTCGGAATCATACAATCGACTCTCTGCTTTATGTAGAGATTTCTATTGGATATGGAAAGGGTTTTGTCGCTTTATTTGTGTGTATAATCACGGCACGTATTGCGTATATTTGAGTACTTCAGAATAGATACTGACACTTATATGAAATGCTTTGCCATAATGAGAAGAAACTTAAGAAATATCCTCCCCCACCCCAGCCCCCTGTCATCGTATCCAAATTGCCTTAATTGATGTTCATGATGTCAGTCACTGGTTTGTCTGGTCCAGACACGATTATTCAAGCAGCGAACAAACTGACTGACCTCGACCTCACTTCAAAACTCTTCATATAGGGTCGTTATAAGTCTGTCAATGTTGTAATACGCATCGGTTAACAGGCAAACTAGTGGTCGATGTAATATCTCATACTGAAAACACCCGATCCTTTTCAGTACACTTTTACCGCAATCACGGGGATCAAATTTCCTATTCTGTCTGCGAGATGGTTCAGTTACAACACGATGCCAAGGTGCACTTTATGTACAACAGAGTGAGTGAGTATGTTTACGTCGCTTTAAGCAATATTCTAGTAATTACACTGCGGGGGACACCAGCAGTTTTGTACAACAGAACTAGGACGTAATAAAAGTGTTTATTTTGCAACATAACAATAATACATATTTGAGGTATATAAGAAAGAAATGGAAATATGACTTATGAAATGGTAGATGGATAACAATTTCCATGAAGTGATGAGGCAATATTTGTGCTCTCTGATGCTGTTATAATGCATCCCCAACCTTTGCCGGTTATTTTCTTCTTAGCCAATGAAAACTTCATTGGTACATGTGCATGTACTTGTTATCCAGTCAAAAGGTCATCAATTCAACAATGTACTTGGTACCTATCAGCAGGACATTGAAAAAGCCACGTGCACGTTAACCGCACCGAACATTTAAGACAAACGGACAGACAGAATTTATTCTGTACTTTAGGTCCTAGGCCCAAAATACAAACACGATGGAAAATAAAATTAAATGTAAATGCTGAATACGCGGGTGGAGTAAATATACACTTAAAAGGCAACACTACGCCACCACTGATTCGTCTCGCCGGTGCATCTTTTATTAGGCCACGTAATCCCCAGATTAGCGCCGAGCACCAGTCGAGAATATGGGCCAATAAAAAGCAAATTTTGAATCCGCGAAGCAAAAAGACATCCATATTTCAATACTTTCAAAATTGAAGTGTTGTTGCCCTTTAATGTTCCAGCGATAGATATTTTCTTTCTTAGCTTAGCACTCGGCAAGTGAATTACTCAAACATTTAATAGTATGAATATTGTCTTACAAAGGTTTCAGTTTTTGGCGGGTTGATGAGATGATTGGTGAATCATGCTCTTCTCCGTTGGGAAAAGCTGTCAATATCAATAAATACACGCAGCTCACCTTCCACATAATCAAAGCCTCCAGTGTGGCGGAATAGCTGGAAGTGTTCTTTATGACTTGTGAAGTCTTTTTATGATGGCCACATTCGACTGAAAATCTGGAGGACATTATTTGAAACATGTATTTTAGCAAACTGTTTGTATTCATTTAACCTAAAAATCGAATTAAAATCAATATGAAAATTTAAAAAAAAACTTTTTTAAACGTGGTCTTTATTTTTTAAACTTACTTCGTTAGTGTGCTGTTAAAGACTATTTTAACAGTCATTTGTCAGCAAAACATACGTCGCACTGACATAATCTAAGAATAATGAGCTTCTACTGGTTTGGCTAGATACACGGATTGACAGCGATATAACATAACACATGGTAATATTGTCTGTATCATTGGCTGATTCCTTACATATGCCCACTGTGTCCCCATCTGCTATAGAACCAGAGAGGTATGTATGTATGTTAGATGATAAATCGCTTCTTAAGGCATTGTGCAAATTTAGAGGGTCATTACACAATTTCAATGTAAATTCTAGACGTACATGTAGATGTGAAAAAAGGGATGTTGAAATGAGTATCTGTACGAAACTGACAATTAGGAGAGATTGAGGATGAATTTCAGGTTTTATTAGTATGTGATAAACATGAACATCTTAGAGAAAAATATATTCCGATGTTTACCAATAGGTATAAACACAAGATGTTAATGATCAGTAATAAAATCCAACAACTCTGCTGTTACACGATCAATAGCCATATTGTTGAACATATATTCACTGTCAGATTTTTTATATATCATGTATATCACGCCAAAAAACAAATGAAAATGTCAACTGTACAATGGGCCATGTGGCCTTAAATACCGAATACAATATCTATCTAGCTATCTGTATCCTCATCCCGAAAACAATCCTGAAGTAACAACGTTTTGTGGATACTACTTACCTTACCTTACCTTACCTTACCTTACCTTACCTTACCTTACCTTACCTTACCTTACCTTACCTTACCTTACCTTACCTTACCTTACCTTACCTTACCTTACCTTACCTTACCTTACCTTACTTATTTGGTGATCGGGATTTCAAACGGAACGTTTAAGATATAGCAAGACAGACAGACAGGTTTATTCAGTATTATGGCCATATGGCCTAAAGTACAATTGATACTAACTCATAATATGGTGTCACGTGCATATACGTACAGGAATTACATCTTCTTGAATCTGAGAAAAAAAAATTGCTTTATATAAGTAGCAAGGGCACCATTTGTCCCACTGGGATATGATTAATTTAAGAAATGAAAAGTTAAAAGTTAAAAAGTTAAAGTTAAAAATCATTGTGAAAGTTATCGGCTGTGTTTATACGAAAGGTAAGGATAAAATGTGTCAATTATTTATATTAGAGGTTTTCAGGAAGCGTATTTGATCAGGGGCAAGACTTTGACACGGGTATATTTTCTCAGGAGGTGAAGATTAAAAGAGTTGCAAAATATGGTATGATATTCATCAACGGACACGCACTTGCTCATATATATATGTTTAATAAAGTTGAAGGGTTTTTTTGTCACTCATGTTAGCCATGCTTATGTACCTGATCATGCCAGGTAGGTACGATGAAGCGTAAGAACGATAATATTAGTTTCAGCCATTTGGACTTGTCTGACAACTTTCTTCTCGAGATTAGAAAGTTTTCTGAATTTTAAACAAAAATGGCCATACTCCTACCTCCTTTGTGAGTGTGGTCTTTGGTTTCATTCTGTAACGTGAAGGACGTGTGTATAGTTTGGCAGTTCAATAGACCTTTCATGGTAAATTGACCAGCAGCTGAACGATGAATGATAAATCAAAGATGCTAGCTTATCCGTGAAACATCCTTTAAAAATCAACGTGAGGACATAGATAACCCAGGATAGTATAGTGAGTTTCTTTTTTGTAACTCCATATATACAGAACATAGTATTTACAGATACGTCCATCTCTCTCTCTCTCTCTCTCTCTCTCTCTCTCTCTCTCTCTCTCTCTCTCTCTCTCTCTCTCACTCACTCACTCACTTTCCCTCTCTCTCTCACTCTCTCTCTCTCTCTCTCTAATGCCATATGTGAAGAAAAATAGTTTCCATAAAAACGCAAACTAATATTCATGCTGAATTTGAAGCCTTGCGTGGCTATATAATGCGACTTTGGAACTTCAAGCTTCTATTAGCTGAATCTTTCGTCATGACTCACAAACTCCTTCATGTGAAGTCTGTAAGTACAGATACATCTCATAATCTTGATAGTCCTGACCTTGAGCTCCTTGACCTTAACAAATAGTCACTATGGGGGTGACCCCGCCACAGATGTCTGCTTCGTAGGTTCGTCTCGCGGAGACATTTGTCCATTCACTTCTTCGTTTAAAGGCTCCGATACTTCACATTTCTTGATAAGTTTATTTTTCAATATGGATTTCTTTTTATGACTAGCCAATCTTCCATTAGCATGACGATAATTCCTAAGGCACTGCATCTGAAACAAAAATTATGATATGTTAAACTGCATTCCTGTTGCAGGTAGGAGGCGCGGGTGACGTCGTCTAAGGCGCCGCAATTCGCTGTTGCGTCCATTTCTATGATCGTGGGTCCGAATCCCGGCTCGTCCCGATTATCTTTCAAGGTTTGTCAGCACTAACCCATGTTCGTGGATTTCACCAAAGTGGTAAACGCCTAAGACCAGCATCACGTCGGGCCTTCCTCCCACATTAAGCTGACACGCCGTGATATAACCGAAATACTGTTAAAAGCAGCGTTAAACCCAACTCACTCACTCAACTACTCCTGTTCCGGGTTGGAGACACATATACAATCATTTCCCATTATTTATTTCCCATGATTTTTAATCCTTTAGAAAAAATGCACTGACCACCGCCGCCGGCTTAGAAAACCACAATTGTCGAATGACGTCAAAAATATTCAGCTATGACGTCGTTTCTAAAGTGACGTCGTTCCGACATTTCCTTACAAGGCGGTTCGAATGACGTCAACAATGCCGTCCGGATAGCATGAACAACACGTTGGTGCGCGCGGAGTGATATTTGCGTTAGTGCCCATACAAATTTTATTCATCAGCTCAGCCACTCACTAGTTTGCACTCATTTGATTTTTTATATGACACAGATATTGATATTCCAAAGATGTAGTCACAAATACCTTTCTCAAAAGACCCTTAACAGGCTGCAAGAGAAAGACGCAGTAGTTACAGTAATTAAGTGCCTCCTGACAGCTCTGTCACGCAACAATAGCAGCCTGGACACTGGCAAGACAACATAAAACGTTAAAGTCAGAGAATAATCAGCCGAAACAGATTCCAGGCGAAAAAGCAAAATATGAATGGATCACTAAAAATCAGTCACAACATCAGGGCCTATTTGCGCCAAGCGATTTTAGCGTCAAGTGAGTGAGTGAGTGAGTGAGTATGGTTTTACGCCGCTTTTAGCAATATTCCAGCAATATCACGGCGGGGGACACCAGAAATGGGCTTCACACATGGACCCATGTCGGGAATCGAACCCGGGTCTTCGGCGTGACGAGCGAACGCTTTAACCACTAGGCTACCCGACCGCCCCTTTAGCGTCAAGACTACCACAAGCGTATGTTAAAGTATTAGAGTGTCTATCATCTTAGTGCTAAGATCGCTTTGTGCAAATGGGCCCAGGTGCTTGGGAAAAGGGTAAGCACGTCTTGCTCTACAGGTGGCTATGGCATTCGCCATCTCTGCATACAAAAAGTGTGCTGCCTGACACGGCAAAGCAGTACCCCTGCCCTACGACGGCCGTAACATTCGATTCTTGACAAGACAAACTTAACTTTTCTTTCTTTTGTTTTTCGCGCATCTTATGTGTGAGAGATAGGAATACATGCTAATAGCCTTTTATCTGCGCTACAACTTTTCGACACACTCCTCATTTCCTTGATTACTATCATTATTACTAGTATTGTAAATGTCACCCGACTTCCTTCGAAACTTGTTCACATATGTGTAGGAGACGTTTAGCTCTGAAACATGATGTGCGTCAGTCATTCCCTTTGAAACTGTCATATTGCTATCTCCCATCTGCGACATCTTCTCCAAAACAGAGGATGCCTTTTGGTACTCCGGATGCCGAGCCTTGTTAAGTGGTATTCTGGATGCCGCAGTGCAGTACGCTGGATGTCTTGTACTGTTTATCTGGTACGCGGATGCCGACTTCGTCTTCGTCGGTTTTTCTTTCATATGTGACATATACGTAATATTTTATCCCTAAGCTTATGGCCATGCATGCTACGTGAAAACCCCAGTCCAATTTACTAGTACCAGTAGATTGATATGACTCAAAAGTTCTTCAATTGGATGCCAAGACAAATGAAATTGTCTGCCGGATGTCTGGAGGGTTGGAGTTACCTGACATACACGATGCCAAGCATCAACCAGGTCAACGAGTTACCACTCGATCCATTCTGTCGCCTCGTACAACAAGCATGTGTTGTTGGAGACCACTTCTAACTCGGAATCCACTCGGGCTATCGATTGGTCGAACCATTATGATATCAATTAATATCATCAAAATATTGATCAGTGTGTGCATGTCATCTTTTGAAATACCATTGACGCTCTGCAGCTGTGTGCGAGCGTGATGAAAAAGAAAATTAATGAAGCGTTCATAAAATTAAGTGCTTTTTGCTTGTATTGTCTAAGTACTGACAAAAAGAATCGAAGCTTGATTTGCAGCTTTTCTATTATGCAACATTGTTTTGCTTGTAATCGTTCAGTTTTGTACACTGCATGAGAGTTCGGGTCTTGTCTGTTTCACAGTTTAATCACAAAAAAGCAGGTAAATGCGAGGGTAGATTAATAACATTGATAACATGTATAAGGAAGCAAAAGTGAAACATTTTTGCATGTACATCACATGATGTCACAGAGGTATATCAACACAAAGTTTACGCTGCGACGGGTCAGTAACATAAGCAGGTGTCTGTAACCTTTGGAGAATGGACAAACTTGAGAAACCTGCTGTGATTAAGTACTTGCAGAAAATTGGCTCAACACCAAAAAGCCATCCACGAAGATACGAGTACAAAACTAGGGAAGGATGTCCCTTCCTTTTTATTATAAAGAAGTCAGAGTTTAAGCCTGGTATATTTAAGAAATAAACGACTCGTGATCGTTGTTTATCGAACAATAAAACACTGCAGGGAGAATAAACCATGAGGTATCAACATTAAGTACAACCTCTATAAGGATGTGAAAGAATGAACAAGCTGAAAATTATTTTACCGTATTTAAGTAAAGATGACTCCCTGAATCCAATCCGACCACGGCAATGACGGACACATCCGTTTTATGAACAGGGGAGTTACGTTTGGTATTTTCCCTCTCAAAAAGAACGACGCCCAATTTACGTAATCATGTTCCGAGCGCATGTTCGAGTCTCCAGAAATGACGTCATGATAGAACAATGTTTTATCGTGAAATAAACCACGCTTCGTTCTTCATTGTTCTTTGCGATTTATCGCGTAGCTATTTTATATATGTGATTATATATGTGTTACTTCATACTACAACAATAAGGAACAACAGCCCTATCACGGAATAAATATACTTGTTTTACTTCATACATCAACAATAAGGAACAACAGCCATATCACGGAATAAATATACTTGTTTTACTTCATACATCAACAATAAGGAACAACAGCCCTATCACGGAATGAATATACTTGTTTTACTTCATACTACAACAATAAGGAACGACGGCCATATCACGGAATAAATATACTTGTTTTACTTCATACATCAACAATAAGGAACGACAGCCCTATCACGGAATGAATATACTTGTTTTACTTAATACATCAACAATAAGGAACGACAGCCCTATCACAGAATAAATATACTTGTTTTACTTCATACAACAACAATAAGGAACGACAGCCCTATCACGGAATAAATATACATGTTTTACTTCATACATCAACAATAAGAACGACAGCCATATCACGGAATGAATATACATGTTTTACTTCATACATCAACAATAAGAACGACAGCCCTATCACGGAATGAATATACTTGTTTTACTTTTACATCAACAATAAGGTACGACAGCCCTTTCACGGAATGAATATACTTGTTTTACTTTATACATCAACAATAAGAAACGACAGCCATATCACTGAATGAATATACTTGTTTTACTTCATACATCAACAATAGGGAACGACGGCCCTATCACGGAATGAATATACTTGTTCTATTTCATACATCAACGATAAAGACTTACAGCCCTGTCACGGACTGAATATTTGTCTTACTTCACACATCAAAGGACTGCCACGAACTCATTTGTTTGCTTGACTTCATACAGATGAGGATCGACTGTTACGTGACGGACTCCTATAGGTTTTCCATCATAAGAAATGACAGCTCTGTTAAATACTGACTATTTTTAGTCACATCTTTTCCCACCAACAAGGAGCACCACTCACCACGGGTTGATCAATTACTTTGTACCCTACACACAACGATAAACATAACCTACGACTATCATATTCCGTACGCTTAATTATAAGAACAACTGTATTTTTATGGTGCATTAGAGTCGTGTAATGTTGTATTGTTAAGCGCCTGCTGATAATAGACAATTGCGAAAAGAAACTTCACTTGTTTTTCATATTTTAAAGAGCAAAAGGGCCATGGACATAACTCTCCTGTCACGGTGATAGAAGCGGTCTCACGTAATGACTCCTTGTAGGTGCTTGTGATGCATCAAAGCATTGCGTGGGCCTGATATCCCAGCCGACCGGGTGATACAGCAGTGAGGATGGTGCCAAAACAGAAGCAATGTGTTTTACATTTCGTCCGTAACAAATATGGTTTTTTTCTATACAGAACACAGGCGAGTCTACTCGTGTTTACAATCCTGCAGTAGCAGCAATGCTGATCTGTACTGATGGCACTTGGTTCAGATAATATGATACACAATGCATTCCGTGCTCGATGGGATCTCAGGGTCGGCATAGGGGTGGTCTGTTTGAGGTTAAGTGAGAAAATGAATATTGAAAACCTCACAGTCAGCCATTTTCCAGCTCTATCTTGACGACGTGTAAATTATCGAGTTTGGACCCGACAAACCAATGGTTCATAGCAAGAGACAACCTGATGACGTCATGGTGTGCTCTTCTAAACCAGAGGTACAATTTCCTTCCACAGCTCCCCCGTTTAATGGATTATGATGGTGTTTTTGAACCCATATTTTATCTTTTTTTTCGACCAGTGTTTGTTTGGTAACGTCGATGTATCTTCATCACAATGAGCTTAAGTCAAGTCAATCAGGCGCCTTGTGTAATCAAACAAACTCCTCAGCTACCATTCCATACATAAGTTGGAGAATTTGGAGAATAATCTACGAACTTAAGGAATTCAGGGTTATCTATCCCAAGTGCAGGAATCCTGTAAGTACGAATTTGTTTGTTTGTTTGCTGTGTAACGCCGAGCTCAGCAATATTCCAGCTATATGACGGCGGTGACATGCATCAACCAAGTCAGCGAGCCTGACCACACGATCCCGTTAGTCGCCTCTAACGACAAGCACAGTCGCCTTTTACAGCAAGTTTGGGCCTGTTCTACCTCGGATCTCCACTGGCAGTGTTAGTACGAAGACCTTAAAATCTTAAATCCCAAGGGAAAGGTGATACGTAATGGCGTATTGATTATTCTGCACATTACCAAACGGTCATTATTGTAAAAGGTGTCTGAAAGCGAAGAGATTCCCGATCATAGAGAGACTCTCTAAATCATTGTTGATGCATGGCATATCGTCGGATTCGTATAATGGACAGCTTTTAGCAGAGATTTCTTATGGTTATGGAAATGTTATTGTCGTTTTTATTAAGCTAACGAGTCTCGATGTAAGGAGTTCAAGCTATCGAGGAAACGAGATTGATGATAAGTAAGTTTGAGATATCGAGGTGTGATGTTAGGAGGTTCGAGATATCCGAGGCTAAAGCAGACTCACCTCCACGTCATTCAGGGCATTGCGCTGACTGACCGACGTCCTGTTTGCCCTGGCACTGGACATTGACTGAGAGGACTCCTTGTTGACCTGGGGCCTCCACACAACAGAGGAGAACTTGGAGAACAGTTTCTGCTTGAACAGCTTGGTGGTGATGGTGTACAGGAGCGGGTTGAGGGCGCTGTTCACTGGCAGCACAAACACAACCACCCACGCATACAGGTCACCGCTGATCTTGACACCTTCGAAAACAAATATACGAACTGAACTTTGTACATTCCAGTGAGTTAAGAAGAAGAAGAAGAAGAAGAAGAAGAAGAAGAAGAAGAAGAAGAAGAAAAGTTATTTAAAGTGTCACACGTTGTCAACTGCACGTATGACTACAAATTATAAATACCAAGTATACAATATCGGGCCTTATGGCCTACAGCTATGAGACACGAAACGCAGCATATATATACAAATATGCATAAAATAGAAAGATGCATGTATATTGAAATATATATTCCCGTGGTTACATTTCATTTTGAGATTATATTACATCTATTTTCTCTAATATATACGAGTTCATAAATGTCCTCGTTTATGTCACGAAAAGAACTTAAATGGACTTTTAATCGTTAACTTTTAATCGATCCATTTCATGACCATCCCTGTAAAAATGACGTCTATCTCTGACACTGTGCGAAGCTGTAAAACAGTGATCAAAGAGGCAATATGTAGGCATGTTGAGGACATTTCCAACCTTGACGTATCAGTGACCAAAATGATGTCGGATGCAAGTGAGTGAGTGTAGCTGAAATAGGCTGCGTGTGTGTGCGCTTGTGTATGCGTGCGCGTGTGCGCGTGTGCGTGTTGCTAGTCCGACCTAATGCGGGTTTTGTAATGCTTGCCGATTGAGATATCATGCCGCAGTTTTAACATGAATACCCAACTCAAACCAAAGCATACTGACTCCGGTTTGATGTAAGCTTCAACGAATGTAAAATGCAAACGTGACACTGAGATCACAGACACGTCTCAAGAAGATGTCTCATTATTAACGACGACTACATTCCTCTTGAACACATGTTTGACTTTTTACACAAGGGTACAGGAACTTCGGGCATAAAGAAGTATTCACTCAGCATCTCCGCTCATCACCCCTTGGCACAGGTCCCAAGGTTCTCGGCGAATGTTCCTCCCAACGCGCCGCGAGATGAACGGAGCCGGCAAATGTAATCGGCCAGACACACGGTAATAAAGCGGTTTTCGTAATGTTTAGGACATCAGAGCCCAATTCAAGAGTCCCTATTATCCAGTTGCTTGGTGGTGAAGTGTCTATGTGTCCTTGGAAAATAGACCCATAATCTTTGTCTGCACATGTACCACGATTGTTTGGGATAAGTGGATTCGCGTAATGATATTTCTGACGATATACTCAAGTGACTGAGTGACTTGGGTTTAACGCTGCTTTTAACAGTATTCCAGTTATATCGCGGGGCATCAGATTAATGTAGGAGGAAAGCCCGAAGTGATGCAGGTCTCGGACGTTTACCACTTCGGTGAAACCCACGAGCACGGGTATGGTGCTGACAAACCTAGAAACATATTCGGGGCGAACCGGGATTCCCACCCACAATCATAGTTTTCTGGCGTGTCCAAGGGACGACACTCTGCACAGCAAAACGCGGCGCCTTGTCATGTCATGATTTTTCAAATGAAATAGTTAAAAACGTCTCTTTTTTCTTTACGTTTTAGTTAGTAATTAGATATTAATTGTATGAAATACTGACTCCTTGGTTTTCAATATGTTTTTATTCCATTAAATCTGGATTTTTAACTAATTTTACATAAGTCATTGTAATAGATCTTGTAAACTGTAATACCTCATCTTGTGTGTAAAACATATAGCTAACCTGCTCCAGTCGCAGAGAGACTAATGATGTACTTTCATTGTGACGTCATGGTAGCTATGACGTCACAATGGTCTGTAAAGCACTGTGACGCAATTTCATTGAAGAGATATTTCCTGGGAGACATCACTAGGTCTCACCTATGCGATATGTACTGTGGAAGCCACTTTGTGATGATAAATATATTTACATGTATGTAGAAACCATATGTCCTTAATAGTCTATGTGAATACTCCCTGGGGAGTTTTACTTTTATGTCTTGGTTTGCGGATGTGCCGACTCAAAAAGCAAGACTATACAATTCCACTTTGAATTTTGTATATTTAAGCCTGATAATCATGCTTATGAATAAACATTTGCATCCCAGCCTGACTGACACCACTGGAATATACCGTATTAGGGTATGACCAATGGGTGTCCCTGATTGGTTGATGTTATTGAGTGTTTGATGAATGACAATCTTAACATTGAAAACCTCTGGCTAGCATTTCTGGGCATCAATACTCAATAAAACTCGCAAATATGAAAGCATATACTGCTGATCGACTTTGTAAAATACATTGTATACGTTTTCAGTAATTTTCCGTAACACTGGAATGATCTGATGTCACGGGATGTCATGACGTCATTATGTATTGGATGCCGTCTTATGCTTCCGTGATAACGGAACTGAACTGGTTAGCAGAGTGTTAGCAGAAATCGAAGGGTATTTTCATAAGTAATCAATCAAATGCAAAATGTAGTGTACGCGGTATTCTAACTACCAGGCCAAGTGTCCCGTTTTTCACATTTGAGATGATATTTACCATGAAAAGCAGTGAATAGTCAAGAAGATTTCCAAGCGTGGTCTCCGATCGGACAACGTTTTTCAACCAATCAGATTGCAGCACATAATCCCATTCGTTTTACAATGACCAGTAATGACCCATTCACGTTGAAAACATTAACATTCATTTGAAAATTGAAAAAGACAATTTGAAATTTTATGTTTTCCTCAAACGTTTCTTACAAAATCATTTCTTTCCTTTCTTACAAAAACAAAAAGGTAATCGAATAGTCTTTTTTCTATTTCAAACACCAACCAATTGTTTTGAGAAATAGAGGAATCAAGTAAATAAGGTAGGCTTGAGAAATGTCGTTACCTTGTGGGTTATATTCATAACGTCAAGGGCACTGAGTGAGTGAGTGAGTGAGTGAGTGAGTGAGCATGTTTTAACATGGTTTTAGCAATATTCAAGCACTATCACCGCGGGTAACACCAGAAATTGGTTTCGCCCACGTACTCATGTAGAGAATCGAACCCTCTCTTTGGATACCCAACCGTCCCACAAGGGCATTGAGATAGACCCTTAGGCTTAACTATTCAAGGGAAATACTTAAAAATTTATATGGTGTCAGTGTTATACGTCAGCGTCATACAGCAAATTATAGAAATGCAATATGTTATAGAATTAAATAAAATAAAACATATGCTATGTCACATCGAAGGAATGTCATGTATGAAATATTTGCCAGTAATTGTAATCTTTTACCACTCAAATGTTCGCATCTTCTCTCGCACCGGCACTGAAGCCGGTCTGTCTTGCATTGTATGATGCGTGTAGGGCCTTTAATGGAACCAGTAAGTGGAATGTGTTAACAGCGGACAGTTTGGACGTTTACGAGCTAAATGGTCCTGTACACGAGCGTTCATCTCATAACGAATGTAAAGAATTCGTCATTACGATTTTTGAAGTTACAAGGGTGTAATGTATGTGACAACAGGCTAAAGTTATAGACCCTTGTCCACCAGAGGATTCAGTCAGGAGTGAGTGAGTGAGTGAGTGAATAAGTTTGGTTCTAACACCACTTTGTACAGTATTTCAGTAACAGCGTGTCGACTTGATGGGTCACGAAGGCGTGGATCGTTGCTCATAATATCGATCACTGGATTGTATGGTCCAGACAGGCCGCCATCTTTTGTGGAACATTGACGAGTGCAGCGTTAAGCAACAACCAAACAAACAAAACATAATCGAAGATGGGGGGACGGGGCAGGTGGAGGGAGGGAGAGGGGGGTCACGCAGGTCCTTGACCTTTACAATTTTGGTGAATGAGTGAGTGAGTGAAAATGGTTTTACGCCGCTTTTAGCAATATTCCAGCAATATCACGGCGGGGGACACCAGAAATGGGCTTCACACAGTGTACCCATGTCGGAAATCGAACCCGGGTCTTCGGCGTGACGAGCGAACGCTTCAACCACTAGGCTACCCGACCGCCCCGTTACCCTTTTGGTGATACCCTTGAGAAGGGGTTTTGCGCTGTCAAATCTAGAAACATATTTACGACGAACAGGGTCTCGAACCCACGGTCACAGGTTTCTGACGCTCCTAAGGGACGCAACTCCGCATAGCGCGGAATAAGGTGACATGGTGAACACATTACAACCACTTAGACCTTACGGCGTCATTACGTCCGTACTGGCCGGTCAGCAAACTAATTACGCTTTATATTAACTCGATAGAAATTCTGTAACGACTAATGATGATAATGATGATGATGTTGATGACGTTACTGAATGTTGTCGAGTTAAAATCACATTCAAGTGGTTAATGTGTGTTGTGACAAATAAGAAACCCTCTTCATCCACGCAGTCACATACATATTCTAAACACATTATTCCCACAAATTTCTATGCAATTTAACCGTTATGAACAAACTCTGTATGTTTTAAACCCTGCGTACAAATTCCAACTTATATCAATCGCAATATCATGCTTAATTTGATCATGCATGTAACTCATAATTCACATCTATTTGATCGTAAGGCTGATCTTTGATAATAATCTGGCTTCATTAAACAGTCGACTCTTCAGTCGCCAAATCAGAAATAATCAATGAGTATCCTTGAAATCAGCGTGCACTTGATAGATATGTACTGCGACAGACACACGGCAATCAAGTGCTATGTAATTCAGATCATTTCTATCCTGAGGGTGATTTGTGATTATAGTCTTGCCTCATTAAATTGCCCATTCAATCGCCTAATCAGAAATATAATATAGCTACGCAATAAATCGCAAAGAACCACGAAGGACGAAGCTATAAAACATTGTTCTATCATGACGTCATTTCTGGAGATTTGAACCTGCGCTCGCAAATTGTGACGTCGTTACTTTTGAGAGGGAAATGTCTAGTGAGTTGTTCTCCATAGATGTAGCTGGGCAACGCAGATGAGCACAATGCCCGAACGATCGCATTCAAGAGTGGGAGATATATATATGACAATCGGTATCTGGAGAAAAGGTACAGATAATCAACGTGAAAATTGTGAGAATATCCGGAAAATAGCAAACGTAAACCCCCT